TAATTATTAATGAAGAGAGATGCTAATTTAGACGTGCCTGTAGCATACAGTAAGTAAAACAATAACTTTGTCCTTTTGTCTTTTAGTGCCTGAAAATGGTCCATTAGCAAGAGTTTTGGAAGGTTCTAGCTTCCAGTAAAGTGTAGTTTCGTCACAATTATATACACCATCAAGATTCCATTGACTAAGAAGATTTTTGAGATATTGTGATAACTCCCAAAGGTGTAGAATTTGACTCACCACAACGAACATGTTCAGAAATATAATATCGTTTTTTAAACCTATCAAACCATCTATTTGATCCTTTAAAGTCACTTATATGAAAATGTCAGGGAAAAACTCTAGCTTTTAAAATAATAATATGCCCAGACAAAGTACAATTATCATTCGTTGGATATTTTGATCTCACGATATGAATTCAATGATATAATCATTCTTTTTTAGAATTTCGGAAATAGTAGATTCACCAACATTATATCTAGACGCAAGCTGGTCGGTTTTTATGTTTGGGTTTTTATTTTTCTCGATGCATATTTCTATTTTTTGTAAGATTGTCACAAGTGTATGTTGGCCCAATTTTTATTTCTCATCGGTTTATAAAAATTTGGATTAACGGGACAATTTTACATATTAATATAAAATGGCTCCAAAAAAAATTAAATTTTTTTTTCGATTTTCGGTTTATAAGGTTTTGTTATTGATATAAACATTAACTGGGCCTATTACTGTGTATATTACACCAAAAAAAAATTTTTTAAAAGTATTTATTTCCTTTATTCATTTTATTCAATTCATTCAAAAATGGATAATTATTTAAAGACTACAAGGTCTTAGAATACTCATAGTAATAGATACTATAAATCGGGTGCCTATTTTATCACTATGCAATACTGACCAATTACAATTTTGTAATATCAAAATTTTTTGATGATACAACTTGACGCATAAATGATGCAATAAAAAATATTCATATGATTTATTTTGACGCTTACAAATCAACCGAACCTATTAGATGAGAGATATTTTTTATTTTAGTATATCACTGCTTAAATTAGAATTACCTCAGACGACGTCAAAGACTGTCATTTATTTGACAGAACAAATAAAATAAAATTTTTTTAGGAAAATTTTCTTAAAAATCGTCAGAATTAAAATGTCACCAACCAATTCATTAATAATAGGATGGCGTTTAAAAGGTCTCCACGTACTTAATATATGTGGGAATCATATCATAG